GTAATATTGATAAGAATATATACTGATTAGAATATAAAAAGCCTCTATAGAAAAACATATATATCTCACTATCGAAAAAGACTATATTCTTAAATAAAGAATATATTCTTAAATAAAGAATATATTCTTAATTTCAGAAGAATATCATCTAAAATCTTTAAGAAGATTTTTTAAGTATAAAATCTACTTATAAGAATATAATTTTTTCGGTGTATAAGTAGAAGATTTTATACTTAAAAAATCTTCTCAAAGATTTTAGACGATATTCTTCTGAAATTAAGAATATATTCTTTATTTGAGAATATAGTCTTTTTCGATAGTGAGATATATATATGTTTTTCTATAAAGGCCTTTTATATTCTAATCAATATTATACTAGAGGATTTTCCTCTTAAAATAAGAAACTCTTCTTGGCGCCTATTTTAGTATAAAATATACTTAAAGTAAGTGGGATATCCTCAAAACAAGAATACAATTTTTTCGGTGTATAAATGATACATACATTTCGTTATCTTTATGCGATTCTTTTCTCGTTAAAGAAATATAAATACTGAAAAAACAATGACAAAAATGAAACAAATAAAATGAAAAACAAGTATAAATTAATCAAAATGCAACTCGCGTCGGGGATCAGATAGATTTTTTTTTTTTACCCGCAAGTGAGCAGTTTCATCTGACACGTGGACTTGTAGACGTTTCCGTCGCTTCCGCAAACAGGTCCGTCTAGGGGCGCGATATCGCACGAGACCGGACAGTTCTCCCGATGGGCCGAAATATTGTTGCAAGGTCCGAGATGAGACAGCTCGATTCCGACCCGACAGATCTCCACCCTGAGCATGCACTTGTTCAAGTAGGTACGCCCATCGGTGCCGCATACAGGATCCTGATCGCCCGAACAGCGGTGCTCGCACTTGCTACCGGATGACCTCAGGCAAGCCGTCTTCTCCGTGGCCACGGTAACGCCTAAACGAGCACACGATGGGCGAAATAATATGAGATAAGCGGATAGATTTAGCGCGAATCATCAAGCGAAACGAGATCTACGCATGTACATATACTTCAAACATATATATATATATATATATATACACATATGTACACCCTACGACCTCGTTGTCCGCGCGCAACGAACAAATCACCCGATCGCTCTGGCGCGAGCGCAAATAGTTTCGTCTCTCTCTTTCTACCCGGGGATCTAGGAAATCGCGTTTCGTTTTCCAAGACGCGTGTAATTTATCGCGACCATTTATTTTACGTATGAGCGGATCCTCGTTACACCGCTATCGCGCATAAAGAAAGAGAATACGACAGGAAATCTCTTCATCGTGTGTTTGCGCGCGCGCGCGCGCGCGCAATATATCGCGTAAGAAAACGAGTATGTAGTTGGAAGGTCACGTTATTTCCGCGATTCTATGAGCGCGCGATTATATTTCTCGATAAAACCGCTTAGCAAACGGACCTTACGGGTGCGCTATTCTTGTAACAACGTTCGGTTAATACGCAAAACGGGAATACGAAAATCACATACGCGGAACTTCGTGTGTGTAATACACGCTAGTAGCGGGGGACCTACCGCGAGAGATATACTTCCCGGGCGAAAGAGGAAACTCCGCAATCTCGCGCGGCCGAGCGAACCGGAGCGAGCGTGTGTACACGCGCTACGTACTGTAATAACTATTATAATTAAAATCGTCTTACCCTTTCCACACATCTTCTTCCGCATTTCGCACTGCGACGCGTATATGACACCGTCGCTGCCGCACACGGGCTCGCCGCTCGGCGGGCATATTCTGGGACACGCACCGGATGCATAATCTAATGTGCGAAAAGTTTACGTACCGACGTTAATGAGCGTAACAAGAAGACCTAAATAATTATCTCAAGTAGATAAAACAAAAGAATTAACAAATTATTTGCACGCGGTCTTGTCTCTCTTCCGGAATTTAAATTTTCCGGGAGACGTCCGCAATGCGTTTCCGTCACCGTCTTGTTCAAGTCGGTTTTTTTAAATACAATAGTTATGTTAATTACTTCAACATCTCTGTGCAAGAATTTTTTTTACATATAATTGTACAGACTATATATATATATATACACTGAGAAAAAAAAGTTGAAGTAACAAAATAGTATTCGATTCAACTATATGCAGCGGTCACGGGATGTCAATGAAATATTGTTTAATGTAAGAGGATATCATGTTTCAATAGATATAATAATTAGATTATACCGAAAGACAATATATATAGTTGTTTTAACAAAATTATAATTTGCTTAAATACAGGTAACTTTGAATGTACAACACAATGGGACAACACAATATTTTGTCTGCTTATAAAAATAAGCAGTTTGATTAAATGAAATGCTTGGTACAAAGAAATTCAGATTATATTCAATTAAATTAAATGAGAATTGCCTATTTCATCTTTTTTAACAGTATCTTTTATTTNAAATTATCACAACTTATGTTCGACAAAACAATTCATGGTTTGGTGAATTAAATATGTTCATTACCACTATTGTTAATTCAACTTGTACGAATTTGTTATCTTTATTACCATATGCTTGAATTAAAAAACCAAGTATTTCAGATAACAAACTGAAACTCAACTAAACGCATTCAGTTGAGTTAATAGTATTTTTTTCTCAGTGTATATATACAGTCTACATATATATATATA